TTTAGTTTACAAAAATAGAACTATTCTGTACCTGTTTTGGAACCTGCCATTTTCACTTAGAACTACATTGTGATTCTGTGACACTTAATACAGAGCTCCATCAGTTTAAGCATTTTGGAGTGTTTCATTGTATATCTACCAATCAAGATTCTTGATTGCAACGACAGCAACCAAGTCTGGTTAACTGAATCAGCAAAAGAGGAATTTTTTGAAAGAGTGTTGATAGCCCACAGAATCTATCATATGTTAGTTTAGTGTTCTATTAGCGATTGCAGTGTAACAATTCATAAAACTTAGTGGAATAAAACAATTGCTATCGTGATATGCTCATATAGTCTGTGGGTCAGGAATTCTAACAGGATACTGCAGGGATGATGTCACAATGTCTGGGACCTCGGCTGGGAAAACTCAAAGTAAGAGATGAAATCTGTTGTCGGGAGAGGGTAATGGAATCAGCTGGAAGCTTCTTCATTCACATGTTTGAGATTTGGCTGGGATGACTTGAACCCTGAGCTGAGGTAGAAGGCTTTTCGTTTTGTTTTTTTTTAATTTGTTAATTTATTTTGGGAGAGAGTGGGGGGAGGGGTAGAGGGAAAGGAAGAGAGAATCTCAAGCTGACTGAACACAGAGCCCAACGTGGGCTCACAACCCTGAGATCATGACATGAGCCAAAATCAAGAGTTGGACACTCAACTGATGGAGCCACCTAGGCGCCCCGTGAGCTCTACCAACTGACCCCGTATGCAGGGCCTCTGTATATGGCTTAGGCTTCCTCACAGTGTGGCAGCCTCTGGGTAGTCTGACTTCTTACAGGGTGGCTCAGTGCTCCAGGAGCTAGTGTTCTAGTAAGCAGGGAGGAGGCTATGTGGCCTCTCATGACCTAGCCTTGGAAGTCCTCTTTCACTATAGTCCATTGATCTAAGTGGTCACAGTCCTGCCCTGATTTGAGAGGAGGGAACACAGACTCTCTTCTCAACAGAAGGAATGTGGCCATGTTCTAAAGTCACCATAACTAGTATAAGCTAAGCTGCTATAACATAAAAAGCATAATTTAGAGTGGCTTAATGAAGAAAGTTTCTCTCGCACACAACAGTTCCAAGCTGAGCTGTCTAGGTCAGCTCTGCTCCACCAGACACTTAGCTACATGTCACTTGGCAATCTTGAAAATAGAGCATTTCGCTGGCGACACTCAGCTTACATGCATTCTAGGGAGCAGGAGTGGCCTTATTTGCCTTCCTCTTGCCTCTGTAGCAGACAGCAGCGGTGTTTATTTCCTATCTTAGAGTTTTCCCCTAAGAGGAAGGATGATCGGTTGTTAGATGCCCTAAGAGCAAATAATATCCAGTAGAATATGAATGTTATCATTTCTCACCCCCTACTGATAGACATTTAGTTTGATAGCATGTTATTGTAACATGTTCTTCACACTGTTGCAAGGAACAGTTTCCTACAGCTATCTTCAAATACGTGTAAAATTTTTTTCCTTTTAAGATAAATTGCAAGGAGTCATGTCATAGTTTCTAATTTCTTTTTTTTTTTAAAGATTTTATTTATTTATTTGAGACAGAGAGAATGAGAGACAGAGAGCACGAGAGGGAGGAGGGTCAGAGGGAGAAGCAGACTCCCTGCCCAGCAGGGAGCCCGATGCGGGACTCGATCCCGGGACTCCAGGATCATGACCTGAGCCGAAGGCAGCCGCTTAACCAACTGAGCCACCCAGGCGCCCCATAGTTTCTAATTTCTGCATCTAGACCTACAGGATCCCATTAAAGAGAGCAACCTCCCCCTTTTCTTCAAATGAGAGGTGGCAACTGAGGAATCTGGGTAAGGCTGGGAGAAAAAGTGGAGAGATCCAGCATGTACTATCCAGCATGTCCTAGGATTAGGTATTGGTGTGCCCATGATCATAACTCACTCTGTGTGAGCACTGTGTGAAGAGCTTTATATACGCCATCTCAGTCTTCAAATCATTCTACATGCTCTTTTTTTTTTTTTTTTTAAGATTTTATTAATTTATTTGTCAGAGAGAGAGAGAAAGCACAACCAGGGGGAGCAGGAGACAGAGGAAGAAGCAGGCCCCCTGCTGAGCAAGGAGCCTGATGCAGGACTTGATCCCAGGACCCTGGGATCATGACCTGAGCAGAAGGCAGATGCTTAACCCACTGAGCCACCCAGGCATCCCTCAGTCTTCAAATCATTCTGATGAGAAAGGCATTATGTTTATGTGGTAGATAGGGAAATTTAGGTTCTAGGAGATTAAATGATTTATCCAAGGTCTTAGAGCTAGGGGTGAATCCCAGATCAGTGCTTTAAACCACTTCGTCCCTCTTGGAACACTTGATCTTAGGATACTCCCTCTTGCGGCCCAGCTGCCATACTGCGGGAAGCCCAAGCCACGTGAGGAGGACATGTATGGGACATTTCAGCCAGCAGGCCCAGCTAAGCTCCCAGCTGACAGCCAGTATTAGCTCCTAGCCATGTGAGTGAGCCAGCTTGGATTCTTCAGCCCAGTTGAGCCCCCAGATGGCTGTAGCCTCAACAGCCAACAGAAGGAGCAGAACTGCTCAGTTGAGCTTAGTCAATCCAAAGACCAGTGAGGACTAATAAAATGGTTGTTGCGTTAAGTCACTAATTTTCGGCAAGATTTGTTACATAGCAATGGATAACCAAAATGGATCTCTCTGAAGAGGGGGTTTCTACTCTGGGGGTGTAACTGGAATAGGGGGCTTTTGATGATCCTTGATGAGTTCATTGCACTAGATTGGGTCTGTACATAACAGTTTTCCTTGCCCAGCCGGGGAAAACCTCACTGAGTCACAAGGCTGGGAGGAGAAGCTATGTGTGAATGAGTTAACAGAAATCTGGGCAAGATTCCCAAAGTAAATAATGTTGATTCTCAGCACAAGGAAGGCATTGCTTAACGCTGCTAAAACTTGCATAAATAGTCATTGCTTTATGACTGATCGGCTATATTTTCAAATTTCAAAAAAGTAACCATAATAACCATCATTAAAAAAAATAACAGCACTTGGAAATGCTTAAACACTGTGCACAGTTTCTGAGGGGCATAAGAGGGTCCTTATCCTTTGGAACTTCCCAGTCCTGTGGGAAGGAGGTGGTGCCAGTATGACCTTTGGGTAGCCCCAGTTGGCACTTGGATCCCAAAGCAAAATCCAGCGCCTCTCTCTCACTTAAAGAGCAAGGGAGGAAGCTCACCACAGTTCAGCAAGATGGTTCCTCTTTGGCCTTATCCACTGAAGCATCTACCTGCAAATCCCTCACCTCTCAGCCCCTTCCAGGCCAGTGGTTCTCAAATTTGGGGACATCAAAATCATCTGGAAGTATGTAAAAAAATGCAAATTCCAGGGTTCTTCTGGAAAAGATTCCCATTCTATAAGACTGGGGTGGGATCCCAGAATTCTAATTTTTTTTTTTTAAAGATTTTATTTATTT